ATCTATCCAGTCCAGGTAGGACAATCTGGGATTGTGCTGTGGTGGTTGCCTTGACCTGGTATTTGCTGCCTCATTTTATTTATTTATTTATTTTAATATGCTGCTCATTCCTAAAGACTCTGAGCAAAAACTTGAACATGTGCACCTGGACAACATACACCTTACATCACAAAACAACCAAACAACCAAACAGCTATAGGCTCAACAAACTACTACACTCTTGGCCTGGGAGCAAAGCTATGTTTTCAAGGACTTACAGAACCCTTGGAGGGTAGGAGCTGTGCAAATCTCTTTGAAGATGTTGTTCTACTGCATTGTTTTCTTTTCCTCCCTTCAACCAAGATTATAGAAGGAAGGCTAAAAATCTTTTTCTCTTTCTGGTAATTGAGAAATGTAATAGCATGTTAAGCCCAATATCTGGTTGTGAATCTAGTGAGGCTTAGGTCTTCTGAGGCATGTTACCAGATTATTACGTCCACAAGGCACAGATTGACACCAAAGAAAATGTCTCTTTGATATAGCATATTGAATTTACTGAGAAACATAAACTAGCAAAGAAAACATGGGCAATTGTTAAGATTTGAGAAAGGGATTAGGCACAGGAACAAAGGAATAATAGGAAGGCACAACCATGACGGCCATTATATCACAGGAAATATAGCTCTGAAAGAAACCTGTCTGTCTCAAGTATGTGCAAAATAAAATCAACTGCTAACATCACTTTCGCACAAGAAGTCCTTGGGGGTTTGATTCTTTGCTGTATTCTGGAGAATTTGATGCCACAATTTACAGGTAAAGGACTTATGTTTCCTTTCATTTCTTATCCAGATCTAGGTAATGCTTGTAGTGAAACAAAACAAAAAACACAATAAACCTTCCAGAAACTGTTCTACTATATGAGTTTTACCTACTAGAGACAGAGTCAATTAGACTTCAAATCAGTTATAAGTGCATTTATCTAGAAGAAGCTTTAGAATGTTTGCATTGCTGGAAGTGCCCATAACACAAACATTCAATGTTCCCACTATATATAAAATGAACCTAAAGTAAATTCAATCACAACCAGGGTATGGAAGCAGTCCAGGTCATTCTTGGAGGTGGGGACCAATGAGTCATAAATATGTAAGGATGTTATAGTATTGCAATATAAGCCCCATACTCTCTATGTATGCATGCATACCCAAAAGGGGCAGAGATTGCATTTTATATATGCAAATTTTATATTAAAGTTATTTAATTTTTCCTCTTATCTTAGCATTGTTAAAATATTTGAATTTAACAAAAAGCTCAGAATGTATCTATTCAGTGGTACTGAAAATAGGAGCTATGTTGTGCCATATTACTTTGGTGTGTTTTGTTACAGAGATAAGAACTAATTAGTTTGCTTTTCCTAAGAATTGCAATCTTACCCAGTCTATGTACAACTCTATATGAAAATGAAAAGCATCTAGCTTTAAAGAAAGTTTTTGAAAGATAAAGATACACAATATACTCAGAACTTCCCTAAAGAAAAAGCAAAAGGAAATGAAAATAAGCAACCAATAACATTCAGCTTCATTTAAGTAACGCTGATAAATGCAGTTATACAAACAGTATGTACTGTAGTACCATTGGAGTGATTTTACAGAAATACATTTGATTTTAATACATTACATTTTAAAATGATATATAAAAGTACTCTTAAGTAATTTGAAAAAAGTTCCATTAAGAATACATATGGATTTTATTTATGTTTGTTTGCTTTAGTACACTCTGATGTACAAGGACAAATCTTGCTTTTAAAAATTGCTTTTTAGAGCAATTCTTTATTACACTTCTCTTATTAAATAGGCAACGTGTTTTCCTGCTCAATAGAAGTGCCAGCTCTTTATGTGTAGCTTTGAAGCCCACAGTCTTAATTCTTATGACTACTTTTCTTTAATAAAGACTATACAGTTATCAAACAAAGAAAACTTCTAAATAGGGGGTTGTTTTTTTGGCACTCCTTCAAATGTCCTATGCAAAAGAAGACAGATGATTATTCTTTTACAACTCCTACCATTTAAAACAATGGGAATATTTATGGGGCTAAATTGAAGACATCTGTACCAAGCAGCACTATCTAAATTAGGGACTGGATTTTCATCACTCTCTCTGGAAAGCACAAGCATGGTCTAATTTAAGTTGAATGTAACAAAGCTTTAGCACAGAGGAACATCCAGAGATTTTGATAATATTCTGGTTCCTACTATTATAGTATACCCAGCAGCCAGATCCATAACTGAGATTAATTTGAGATTATTTATTACTGTGGCAACTGAAGTAAATTTGAATACATCAATGGAAGCATGTATTAATATTAGATTTCCATATTCATGATTTTTTAAAGTGTGCAGACTCTGTAACATTTTAATGTCTCTCTTTCCTTCTCCATCTTTTGTCATTTGTTTTAATATTTGGGTCAGTCAACTTATTTATTATTTATTTATTTATTTATCAAATTTATATTTTACCAATTATAATTATTTCACCTATCCCCAAAATACACTGAGTCTTTGGATCGCCTAGTTGATCCTTGCTGTGGCGTTTTGTTGTATTTTAAATTGTAACTGGAAAAAAGAGAGAAATTAGGGGTCAAAGATATTATTTTCTCCTCTAGTTTTATGATCTTGTAAGGTTTTTTTTTCTCTGTAAGGAAAGAAAAGTCTTGCCAATGAGTCAAGTAAAATTATGAACTTCCTTTTGGGAGAAATTTAGAGTCTCATTTTGCTTCCTTTAGGGTTATTTTTAAACTGTAGGTGATTCACCATCTCCCAGCAGACATAAGGGAGAGCATCTGCATTCAAGCTATCTGGATCCTAAGTACTTTAACAGTGTTTAGTCAACCATGGAGTATAAAGCAACAACTTTCTTGCAAAATATTTAGGTTGTAAGATTGCTGATAGGCTAATACGACTGCATTTGGACTGATTTCTGCTTAGCAAAAGTATGGCTTGAAAGATGTATTGAAAACTCCCATGTGCTAATCTGGTAAAAGGGTGGGAAAGACTGATAAAATCTCCTTCAACTATATGTCCAGATTACTGATAATCCAGTAAACACATTCAGCTATTAGCAAATGTCTGGATCATTTGTCACCTAAAAGAGCTCAATTCTTTTGCCAATAATTCTTTTACAAGTTTACAAGGCAAGTGCACAAAAATACATCTTTCTTCTGATCATTTTACTTATTCTTCTCTATGCCTGAGTTCACCCTTGTCATGGTTGTTATAATCACTGCTCAGTGAATAAACCAGAATCATCTAATGCAGTGATGGTGACCTTTTCAGCACCAAGTGCCCAAACCGGAACACACACGCATTTGCGCATCCTGGAGCACTGGAAACCCGAATACCAGCTGACCAGTGCGCATGCATGCACTGGAAACCAGAAGAGCAGCTGGCAATGGTGTGCATGCTCACAGAGAGGGCTCTACGTGCCACCTGTGGCACGCATGCCATAGGTTTGCCATCGTGGACCTAGTGCATATAATGCTTAATTTAAACTACATTTTTATATCAGTGATTGCATGATCTCTATAAATGCCATATGCTAAACAAACCTAGCACATACAAATTGCTAAGCTATAACCCATAGTTTACCCAACGATTGAGTTCACACTGTGCTCTAGGTCTTGTTAATTGGTTGTATGTTTGGACATGTGTATGTATATAAATATATGTGTGTGTGTGTGTGTGTGTATGTATGTATAAAATTTAATACTAGCAAGTAGTATTGAACTTATTATGAAAACAATAATTATAATGATGTGGATTTGTTTGAGCTTTAAATGTTGTATAAACCCGTTGTCAGTTTTATAGTTTATAGCCACCAATAGAAAAATAACTGAATTATTATGTATCAGTTATATCTGTTTAAAGCATCCCATTTGGCATTTAGAACTCCATCACAACCCTATAGAAAATAAAAATCAGATACAAAATTTTCAGACATCCTGTTCCCGTAAAGTTATCATTGGTCATACTCTCCATGGTTTGTGGCTTAATCTTCTATGTGAACTTGATTATGTCCTATTAAAACATGGTTAAAGAAAACATAGTTTAACCTGGCATAAGATTAAGGTACTATTTCTTATGCTAAGTTTACTCTAATATTCTTTTATGAATATAGAACCTGATAAGGACTTAATGATCATTTTGTTCAAGAACAAGAGTAGGAAATATCCAGTTCCTATTAGCTGCAGTATGTTGCATGCTTAGAAGTGGCAGTTGCATTCTCAGTTGAATTCATTGGAGATTACTAATACATTGTATGTGTGTGTGTGTGTGTGTGTGTGTGTGCGTGTGTGTCTATTTTTATTGTATTTTTTCCTCTTTGGTATGGAACATAATTAGAAGAAGTAAGAATAAGATAATGTCTGGGCTGTGTGTTCATTAAGTTTAATAGGAAGCATAAGGTAGGGGTGTGTGCGTCCGTGTACCATTTTTCACTATCCTTCTGTAAGATTCTGCAACTGTGTATTGGACTACAACTACCATCACCTCCCAGCTAGAATGTACTTTAAGCCTCAAAGTTTAAGGCGTCTGAAAGACACCCCGTCGAGGAATGCCGTCCAACAATGCCTGCGTTCTTAACTGCAAAACAGGCTCTTCTGCACGAGAGAACCTGGGCCCTTCTGCCCGGACGTCTCCCACACAGAAATCTGCGGAACGTGCACGGGCCGGTGTAAAAAAAAAAAAAACAGAGCCGGGATGTTCCTTCACATCCACGCCGCTTCCGAGCGAAAGGAAAGGAAGCGCCTCATCCACACCCCCCCCCCCCCCCTTCCCCCCCCCCCCCCCCCCCCCCCGTTTCCTCTCCCCCGGGTGATTCCCGGGCGACGTCCAGGGACTCTTTCAGCAGCCGAGCCAAGCTCCGCCCGGCTTCCTCCCCGCCTCCCGCGTGTCATTCACTCTTTGCATCTTGGGCCCTCCCCGCCGGCAGGCCCATATACTCTCTGCCTCGCACTCGCCGAGGCCACAGGAGGAGCGGCGCCCCTCCTCCTCCTCCTCCTCCTCCTCGGCCTCTGCCCGCCTTCTTTGCAGCAGCGCCACCGCTTCCCTTCGTCCAAGCGTGTGGAGGCAACCGGGACAGCCGCCGAGGAAGGACCGCGCTGCTCTTCTGGTAGCCGGGAGGGGAAGGTGGGCGCTCTCGGTCTCTCCACCGAGAGACACGAACTACCAGGGAGAGGCGCCCGCTGGAACGTGCGCGGCGAAGGACAGAAGCTCGGCTCCCCATGCCGTGAACTTGCGCGGCTCCCAGGAGGCAGGATCCGAGGAAGCGGCGGCTGTAAGTGGGACCCCTCGCGCGCCGACCTGTTGCCGCGGGGAACAGGTTCGCGCCTAGGCGGGCGTGGAGGGTGTGGGGAGCCTAAACCGGCTCGGCGAGCGCCGGTTGTGAGGCTTTTAAATTAGATGGTGGTGGAAGAAGAAGACGCTGCCTCGTCTGCAGCCCCGAGTCTTAAGTAGCCACAGCTCGCGTGGTTTCACTCAGAAGGAATCGCTGCTGAATTCAGCGCGGATTTATTGTATTCCTGAGGAGAGGGGCTGCAGCGGGAGACCCGAAAGCGATTTTGTTTTCAGTCCAGGGGTCTCTTAATGGGTCGCAGAGAGGCGGTTTTGGACACCCTGCAAGGAGTTTTAACGCTGAGGGAGCACCGAAACTAGTCTGTGTTTTAAAAAATAAAAAAGTGTGCGGGGTCAGAAGGTGCAACTCCTAAGGTGGCTTTTGAGTTCCCCTGAACTCGGGTCGACCTTAGACTCTCCAATGCTTTGCGCTTAAGAGGACGGGGTCGGTGCACCTCCAAGGCGCAGGGCACATTTGTTCCTTTCCGTCCTACAGGAAGGAGGAGGAGGGCCAGAGGGTGTGCTGCTGGCTTCCTTCCTTTCCCAAGGCTGCCTGCCTGCCTGCCTCTTTTTTTCTTTTTTCTTTTTTTCCCCCTTCCACTTCAAAGCGAAGAGGGGAAGCGGGGAGGCAGCCGTTGACGGAGCTTTTGTATTTCGTTATAGAGGGGCGCACGTGGTTCGCTGCTCTTCCGCGTAGTTGCAGAAGGTGCGCGGAAAGTAGGGAAGAAGTGGGGTCCAAGCTTTCAAAACCTCTAGTTTTAGCACCGTTTGGTCCTCAGGATTTAAAAGGGGATGTGTTGAAACATGATGGGAAACCCTTCCTTCAAACACACATTTTATTCCCGACTCTTCCAACATTGGAAAAGAAAAAGGAAGCTTAAATTTACCAGCTTAAAAATAAAACTCGGAGACGATGTTTACACCTGTATGATGTTATGGAATAAAAGACACTAGTGATATCAGAAGATAGTAATTTTTTTTCTTTTTTTTTTTTTTAAAAAGTGGATTTTTTGCTCATCCAACTGTAGTGAATAGAAATCCATTAATTATAGCAATGGAAAGGAGATTGCTGCCTACCAAAATTAGCAAAATAAACAACAGAGCAGATTCTTTACCTAATGATATGTGTGGTATAGTATGATAAGCTTATCAGTATTTGCTTAGTAACTGAGCCCACCCCTCTTATAGCTCTTTTGAAGTCTGAGCCATTACACAAAGGAAGTAAAAGATTTGCTTCTCTGGCTGTTTTCTTCATAATATATTGGCATATTGCTGCATTAAAAACAGAAAATTATTTAAAAAGATACAATGTACATACTAGATTAACTGCTAAAAGATTTTTAAGATAATAAAAGCTATAAAATGTACAAGATTGAATGTGCTTACTTATACCTGTGTGTGCATGTTCTTGAATAATTTTTAGAACAGCTATCCAAATTCAGAATACTGGAAAATAACATTCCAATTTTTATGTCTCTCTTTGAACAAAGAAATAATGGTTATAGTCAGTTCTTTGATTACTTCCATTGACATGACTACACTGTCAGATTGATTTGGGAAGAAAGTAAAGCTTCCAAATTCAATAATGACATAGTTTGTAATTCCAGAGGTTGAAGAACAAATAATTAAGGATAGTAATAGCCTTTTGCTATTTGAGAATTAAAAATCTTTTGATAGATTAATGTTGGAAACAGATAGAGGATAAAACACATTTATCCTCTATCTGAGAATAAAGTTTGTCTCAAAAAGTCATTTCTCCTAAACTAAGATGTGTGGGGAAAAACATATTAAGAGCAGGATCCATCAGTTCTGTAATTGTTTCAAATAATTCTTAATACACAATAATTCACACTTTAATCCATATGTACCTTCCCCCCCCCCCCCCCCCCCCAATTCTGTTTAATAGTGTCTGATTTTCAGAGACTGCCTGGATAAATCCCTGCAGTTTCTTTGGAAATGTTTTTCAGGAGTTGCTTCCTTCCTAGGGCTGAGAGAGAGTGACTAACTAACTCAAAGCCATTCAGATGGCTTTATGCCTAAATTGGAACTAGAACTCACAATCTCTAGTTTCTAGCCTGATGCCTTAACCACTACACCACTACACTTTCTATCTAGTTTTGCCTGTGTGAATAAATCCCACCTAGTTCTTTGAGGTTTACTTAAATCATGTATATGGCTGAACTGTTAATTTCAGTGTATTTTAGATATACAATTTAAGTTTCATAAGGTAAATTATCCAAATGATGTTGCCTTTATTTGATGTTTTGTTTGGTGTTGTAAATAACTTGGTAGAACTATTTATGGCTTAGAATTATAGCACTGGAAGTGGCTATTCAGATCATGTAATCCATACTTAGACAGTTTGCAGTGATAGCAGAAAGTTTAGAATGGACTGTATTTGATAGATTGTGGGACCCAGAAATGTCTGAATAATAGGGAGCTTACATTAAGAGTGTATTAGCGTAGAACCACATGGAGACAAATCAATAAATTGTATTGTTAAAAGTCTTCAATGGTTATTGCAGTAGTCTTTTTGAGCCATTTAAGATAAAATTGCCTAAGCACATATTAGGAAACACATAGATCTTAAAAGAAATTACTACATAATAATTGATATATCAGTGTTAGAGTATATTTCATCTTGTGTTATTAGAAGAATACAAACAATGAAACATCATCACCTAGGCATAAATATTTCTGAATTTGCAGCCTTATTCTAACAGAAGGTATGTTTGGATGAGCATCTACAACCTCATAAGTTGCTAAAAATTATACCTGGAAAGTGTGGGTGGGAGAGGGTTATTCAAAGGTGTTTTAATTTTGTTTTTAAAAATGGGAATAACATAGTTGAATTTAAGCAATTCGTGTGATCGAGGTTCTTCTCTATAAATGACCCAGGACTGTACATTCCCATGCTATTGGGGAATTGTAGGTGTTTCAATCTATACATATAAAGAAGATAGATTAGTGAAAGATAGTTTAGTCAGAAGAATCTTTTAATTCATAGGAAATTATTTTAAGATTTTAATTTATATGTTAAACTGGGTACAGTAACATGCATATCATAGCTGAGCTGTGCTGTTGAAATCTGTAGTAACCATTAGCTGGCAACAAAAAGCTACAATACTTCTTTGCTGCTATCTAGTGGTCATGTGCATTTTGCATTCCAGTTGTAATAAGTGTGAAGTACAGTTACAATTGTGATATCTCAACAAATTAACAAACATCCCTAGTGATGGGTAGATTTATCTTTTAACAATTTCTTTTGAGTAGGTATAGCAGGTATTGAAACAACCACGTTTCCTCCAAGAATACAAATTATTTTTGAGAAGGAAAAAATTTTGAAGAAAAAAGAAAAATCCTTTATGGTAGTAACTAAGTGACCAACAAGTCAAAAAAATGAGAATAATTGGCTATCAAAGTGTATCATAGTGTGTATAACAATTGACGCTTAATTGTTACAGATATCACCTCATATAAAAATTAGATTTTTCATTTATGTAATTTATATGGCTGCCCAGCTCTCAGACTGTAGCTCTGGACAGCTGATATATTAAAACATGAACGTGATAAGTAGTGGCCACAAAAAAGTAAAACTTATTTCCCCAACTTGTATTACTTGGTTTTGAATAAATATTAGAATCAAACTGCAAAACTTCTAATTTCTTAGCAGTTTCTACACATACTTAGCAGTGACAGCACCTTTACAAGTGACAAAATACTAGGGAAGGGTGCTGTCACAAAATAATACTAAACAAGAAAATTTTGAGGAATCACATGCTCCATTAGGATAGGTCCCACTTATTCCTGCATTCTCACTTTTGCTACTTGCTCACCTTTTCCCTGAGGGAAATGAGGCATTGTATTGAATTGAGCACAGGCTTTCTGTCCTGAGCTTATAAAGTCATTTCTAAGTCCACCCATTTCTAAATCCTGACCAAGTCCTCTCAGGTGTCATATCTGACTCATCACTGAATAGCAGCTTAATGAGTAGCTCAGTTTCCTTTTGCTAGGTTCTGTTGACTTTTTCTGGTCTGGTGACAGGCAGTCTTGTGGGAAAGCTTTATGGAGGTCATGCCAGATTATATTTTTGTCTTTCTTCACTCCTTCCTTGGTTGTGGAGATAGTCTTTTTCTATGGGCAGTGGTGGTTTTTATGACACCTGAACAGGTTGGACCTGTGCAGCTGGTAGGAATATCTCCAGGGGACTTCTGATTCTGTTATAAATGAAAGAGTTCTCCATCAGAGACAACTGCATATTGTCTTCCCTGATCATCTGCTTGCCATTCCCGTGCACATTACTTGTTTTTCCAAATTAGGACAACATTCTTGAATGTGTACTTATAAGACCAGAAATTACAATTTGCAGGTCTCTTGTCATAGGTTGAATCATTGCCTTTTCAAATCATTGGGATTGGAGCCAGTATAAATTCTGAGCACACAGAATGGCTCCTTCAATATGTGGGAGACTTATTGAAGCAGGATAGATGACCATACCTGGAAGGGGATAGAAAGGTGATTTTTGTTGAATCTTAATTCTTCTGGGATGGCATAGCTGGAAAGTAAACAACATGTTGGCAGATTCTCTCAATATCAGTAGGAGTGGTGTTATGAATGCTCAGGGCTGTTTTCACTGTCAGAATTGAAGTTTTGCTCCAGAAAAATGGTTAGGTTCACACAACGTTCCAAGCCAGAATGTTATTTCCTTTTCATTTAATGTATTAATGTAGTAGTTTTAAATTCTGTTTTCCACTGAATTTATTCTAATGATTTTACTTTGAGAAAACTTTGATCCTGTATAGTTTAGGTAAGCATGTTGCATATTGAGGTTTGGGGGATTTTTCTCTCCTCCCCCAGCATTGGTGGAAATTCCTATTTACTGTAGGATTTGTTTTCCAGTCACCACCTTGTTCCTTTCATAATTTTTGGCCTTTTGCTAAATTGGTGGGAATAAAGATTCAAGAAATCTGGAATATACCAGGCTGAGAAACTCTTTCAGCATATAATTAAATCACATGTGTGTCACCTTAAAGTATCTGTTGCTGGAGAGATATGTAGCTTTGAGGTAAAAAAAATCTACTGATAACATTATAGTAATTAAAGTAAAATATGCTGTGAATGATCTATTTGTGTCTTAACTTTTTACATATTTTCATGCTGTGGGTGGAATTGGTTTTATCAGAATATAATCTTAATAAGGTTAATTTGTGGATGCTTGTGTTCCTTAAAGTATTCCTGACTGAAACGTCCTTATTTCTTGTCCTACTATGATTCAAGGCAGAAGTATGTTTTTAAATATGTGTGTCAGTACATAATTATTAAATCAGCTGCTGTATGCTGGAAAGGTGTGGGAAAAAATTCAGACCTGTCTTTTTTTTTCACCCATTCTGAAACTGCCACTTATATCGTTACGAAAGTGGGAGGTCTGGTTTGCCAAGATAATCCTGCTGTCTTGAGCAATTATTTTTAGACTATGCCAGTTAAGAAACATATAGTAGGAAAAACAGGCAGAGGATTGGATGTCCTCAGCTCCTGTTTGATGTTGCTTAGCATATTCCTGTGTTTTGCAGCTGTTTTTTTTAAAACCACAATTTTAAGTCTTGGAAGTACTCTGTAGTCAAAGGATAGACTTCCCAGTAGATAACAGGGAAGTACAGGTAACTTACATTTAAAACATTCTATATTGTATTTTGAGACTTCTTAATCATATTTATTTCTTTAACATTTAGGTGTGGAAGAAAATGTCAGTCAGCATGCATGAGAATCGGAAGTCTAGAGCCAGCACTGGCTCTATAAACATATATTTATTTCACAAATCTTCATATGCTGATAGTGTCCTCACTCATCTGAATCTTCTGCGTCAACAGCGTTTATTTACAGATGTACTCCTCCATGCTGGAAACAAGTCATTTCCTTGCCATAGAGCTGTCCTAGCTGCCTGTAGCCGATATTTTGAAGCCATGTTCAGTGGCGGTCTTAAAGAAAGCCAAGCCAGTGAAGTCAACTTCCACAATTCCATCCATCCAGAGGTTTTAGAACTTCTCCTGGACTATGCGTACTCTTCAAGGGTCATCATCAATGAAGAAAATGCAGAGTCCCTTTTGGAGGCAGGTGATATGTTGGAATTCCAAGACATTAGAGATGCTTGTGCAGAATTCTTAGAGAAGAACCTTCATCATACCAATTGTCTTGGCATGCTTCTTCTGTCGGATGCTCACCAGTGTACCAAACTTTATGAGCTCTCTTGGAGGATGTGCCTTAGCAACTTCCAGATCATCAGTAAAAGTGAAGATTTTCTTCAGCTTCCAAAAGACATAGTTGTTCAGCTGCTCTCTAGTGAAGAATTAGAGACTGAAGATGAACGATTAGTTTACGAGTCTGCCATGAACTGGATTAACTATGATCTAAATAAACGTCACTGTTATCTGCCAGAATTATTGCAGACTGTGAGACTGGCTCTTTTGCCAGCCATATATCTAATGGAAAATGTAGCTACTGAAGAGCTTATCACCAAGCAAAGGAAAAGTAAAGAGATTGTAGAAGAAGCAATCAGGTGCAAATTGAAGATTCTGCAGAATGATGGTGTAGTCACTAGTTTATGTGCTAGGCCTCGAAAAACGGGGCATGCCTTATTTCTACTGGGAGGCCAGACTTTTATGTGTGACAAATTATATCTTGTTGACCAAAAAGCAAAGGAGATCATTCCAAAAGCTGACATCCCAAGTCCAAGGAAGGAATTCAGTGCATGCGCAATTGGCTGTAAAGTCTATATTACTGGTGGCCGAGGATCTGAAAATGGAGTCTCTAAAGATGTTTGGGTATATGATACACTTCATGAAGAATGGTCCAAAGCAGCTCCAATGCTAGTTGCTCGGTTTGGCCATGGTTCTGCTGAACTCAAACACTGTCTATATGTTGTAGGAGGTCACACAGCAGCCACTGGTTGTCTTCCAGCCTCTCCCTCAGTATCCTTAAAACAAGTAGAACAGTATGATCCTGTGACTAACAAATGGACAATGGTTGCCCCACTTCGAGAAGGAGTAAGCAATGCTGCTGTAGTCAGTGCAAAGTTAAAACTCTTTGCTTTTGGTGGTACCAGTGTCAGTCATGATAAGCTTCCAAAAGTACAATGTTACGACCTGAGTGAAAACAGATGGACTGTACCAGCCACTTGTCCTCAGCCATGGCGATACACAGCCGCAGCTGTTCTCGGTAACCAAATTTTTATTATGGGTGGAGACACTGAATTCTCTGCTTGCTCAGCTTATAAATTCAACAGTGAAACTTACCAGTGGACTAAAGTGGGAGATGTGACAGCTAAAAGAATGAGTTGCCATGCTGTTGCATCTGGAAACAAATTATATGTTGTGGGAGGCTACTTTGGAATCCAGAGGTGCAAAACATTAGATTGTTATGACCCCACGCTTGATATGTGGAACAGCATAACCACAGTGCCCTATTCGCTAATCCCAACTGCATTTGTGAGCACATGGAAACATCTCCCTTCTTAACTGCATGTGTGTCTATACAGGTGAGAAATCGCTTATTGAAAATATAAGTGGCTATAAATTTACTTTTTTTACAAATAAAAACTGCAGATTCATTTGAATAAACAGGAAGCAAAAAAGCTGGCATGACTCAATCAGTGCATGAATAAATATAAGATCTGTTTCATAAGATATAAGAATTACCCTGGTTACCCCCAGTTAAATAGTGCATGCATTGGTCATGCACAAGTATCCCTATTGGTAATTTCTGTATCCATGATTATTAATTCATAGGCATATTTATGTAAGACTGTTCTTAAAGGTAATTATGGTTCTTCACATAGACATATTTCTTTTTCCCACCATTTGCAAATGATCTTAATAAAATGCCATCTAGGAGAAAATCTACTTAGTTGAAATTATAGTTTACTCACATGTTTTCTTTTGTTCAGTTGTGTCCCATTCTTTTAAGACTTTGTTGTCATATCCACACCTTACAATTTAAGTGGAAATAAAAGAGTATAATTAATGTAAGAGTGATTAGTGGAACTGATTACACTCAAACACAAACACACATACTATATATACTGTGTGTGCGTGTGTGTGATTGGAGCAAGCAAAATCATTGCTGGTTCTGATGTGCATATGGGCAACAATGTAAACTGCCTATATATCTTTTGAAGGAAACTTTATATGAAATATTATAAGACTTTATCTTGGACTTTATGGAATTGGGACTATTAATAACTGAAGCAATAAGAATCTGCTTCCCCAGGGTGGGGTGGAGTTAGAAAAGAGAATTCTTATGTGCAGTGGTGAATCATTCTGACCTTATGTTTAAAAGACATGCCAGTTAGCTTAAGTAATTATTGGTTTGCAACTTGGGATGTTTCAAAGCCCATAAATTCAATCTGAAAGTTTAGTTGTCCAGATGTGCACCTGATGTGGGCAGGTGCAGTGTTGGTGATTTTAATGGATTGATATCTGCTTAAAACTATTTCATTTGAACTAGCTCATGCAGATACCTGTATTTCTTTCTTTTTGCTACATTTCTTTTTTATTATTGATTTTCCTTCTGATTTTTCATTTTGAAAATGCCAGTAAACCTTCCTTGCAATATACCCTTTTATTTAAAAAGTGGCCAGCTATTTCTATATAAGCCTGCCTTTTATCTATTTTTTATTCTTCCAGAATTGTAAGAGGTTTATGGCCTTACTAAAGGAAAAGAGGAACCATTAAGTTCAGCAGGGCATGTTTCTGAGTTAGCATGCTGGGCTCAGATGCAAATTTTGTTAGAATGCGTGCAGCCCATTTGTATTCATTGCTAATTGTGCTTGGGGAAAAAATGCTGAAAGGACTTCAAAACTTCAAGCCACATATTAACCAGCAGTATAAATGCTCGGGTATAAATATTTCAGGGACTTCAGTTTAAATAGACCTTGCCTATAATTTATCCAGTCATCTAGAAGGTTTTAATGTATCAATAAATCTAGTTGTAAATATTTCTTGGCATTAGCCTTTTCTTGTGAAGTTAAACTTTTGGTGTCAAGATTAAAAAGAACTAAGTAGCACTTGAAATAAAATTAGAACAGGGTTTTTTTGGTAAAGAAGAAAACAATGAGGAGGCCCACATAGTATATTGTAAATTGATTCATCAAAATGCAAATATCTCTATCAGTATAATTGCAGAACTGCAATTTTAATTCTAAAGAATAGTTGCATTGCATATTTTTATTCTCTATAAACCTATGAAATGTTTTTCTCAGTCAAAGCTTGATCCACAGACATCGAGGCATTGTTCAGTGGTCTAGACTGGATTTAGGTACATTTCCAGAGAAATAGTTTTGTCCTTCTAGTAAACAGCAAAAGTACCTGAAGCTCTTTATCTAATCAATCCCCCCCCCCAATCAGTGCTACTATTCAATGTTTTGTATATTAAAGTTTGACATGGGTTCTTTTATTTATCTAACAATTTATAAGGTAGCTGTTCTATATTTTCTATTGGTTATCCTGGCAGACCCTAGATTAAGAAAGATTGCTATAAGGTGATAGTATTGTCTCTACTAGAATTTTAAAATCAAATAAGTTACTTTTTATTAAAAGAAAGGCCTCATTTCCATGTTAGATTGGAATTTGAGAATATTTTATATATCTAATTGTAATTTCTTATACGTTTCAAATATCAAACTTCTTTATGTCTGATAATGAAAGATGATCCTGTTATTCCTTTCAGTATGTCTGTATATGAAAGACTATTTTTCCAGGATAATCAAATAATAGTTTACTCTCCGGGTTGTTTTTCACCTTCCTCCCAATCTGTTTTACTTAGGCAATTTGTTAGTATAACTGAATAAACGTAACCAACCTGCAATTTGCGCCGTATCCAGTGATAAATTTTTGTGTGTGGCTCCTGCTGCTCTATCAATGGGAAGAAAGGACCAGAAGAAAATGGTTCTCATTGTGCCCCAATCAGAAACATTTTTCTTCTGGCCCTTTCTTTCCGTTGATACAATACAGCAGGAGGAGGCATAAAAAATATTTTTTTGTGTTAAAAGAGTTAAGAAAAAAAGTTAAGAAAAAAAGAATCTGCTTATATTCATCTCAGGAGTATGCTGTAGCTGATTGTCCTTCAGTGAAAGTGGTTTTAGTTTTTTAATATGCAAGAGATCGCAAATTGTGTCTATAGTTATTATTTTGTAAACTGCACATACATACCTTCTGTGATCCTGCCCAATGCTTTTAAGCTACGAAGCACATGCACCTTCCAATCAGTCGCACCAAGTTAACCAGCAAATTTTTACAATTGCACTGTGGAAATCCCATCAAACTTTGCTTCATATGTTCTAGCAGAGCTATTAATTGCTACTTTAAAAACCAGCATGGTGCCTGGTTTGAAAACCCGGCTCTGAGCATAATGGAGTGAGAAGGTGGAGTACAGAAGCCAAACACTGGCATCCAAAGCTAATATTTTGCACTGAATAATTGACGTATAGGAAAGGCTTCTATGGGGAGGCAGCGAAGCGTACTGCATTGTTACAGGACAAAGCCCCACAAAAGAGAGTTCTGCCATAATGAATAGCAGAAATGTTTTAAATAAGGGGATTAATATGTCTGCCTTTCATATTCTGAATCAGTTCTATTCAGGATCCTCCATGGTTAATAAGGCATTGATTGGTGATTCTTTTCTCCAACAAGCTGCCTTTCCTTCTGCTTCTTTGCTACTTGGATTTGGCCCATGACCAAAATGCCTGTCCCTGCTACTGTACCAGCCAGCTTTATGACAGAGATGTTGCATTATGTTATTTTCCTCCTTAACAATCGACTGTCTCTTCATTTGCAGGATTGATTTATTACGTTCAGGCACTGTTCTTCTCTGTCTGCCAAGTTATTAATGTTATTAAACCAAAGAATTGCTAGTTACATTATAAAGGAATAACATGATCAGTGAGGTTACAGCATCTAATATTTAAGATACATAATGAACAGGCATCTGTTTTATAGACCTTTAAAACATGTATAAACTTTATATTGTTCCATGAAAATGTTTATAATGTTTCTGTTTCTTTTCTTTAGTTTATTGCATTATAATGCTGAATAAACCTTGGAACCAACTGTGGAGAAGTGGTTTTGATGAAGACATTTCTTTTTTGAATTTGAAGAAGATACCCTGCACCTTCTAGATTCTTAAAAGTTGGAAATGAAGGAATGGGAGTGGGAATATTGTTTTCGGTATATCAGCACATGGTTTAATTATGAATGAATGAACCCATGGTCGGGTCCTTGTGTTAGTAATTGTGGATTAATGTCAAGTTTAATAATCCTTTCAAAGGGGAGGGGAGGTGGGGGGGGAAATGAACTTTCCAGAGCTGCATAACACAGCACAACCCTCAATTTTCATGGACTTTGCTTTTTGTGTGCAAAATTTGAAATGGTTGTCACCTCCCTTTGTGACAATTTGAAGTGTCAACAGCAGCTGCAAAGGAAGCGGACAAGGCCTGGTTCAGCAAGATGTATCTCTTTGTGAATGAAGATACAGCTCTGCCCAGGGCAATGAGCTTTGTCCTAGGCAGTGCCGGGAGCATCGGTTTCAATTGGTGAGCTGCGTTGTAGCTCTTGAATTACTTTCTTAGGGAGCAGCAGCTCAATTATTAAAAAAAAAATTATTCCCCCCAGCGTCTATGCGAAAGAGAATGACTCTTGTTCCCTACATACATGCAATTTATTTCTTCTTGTATTTATTAATTATGACTGTCCTGCTTCTAAATTGTTACTTGTTGTAGATACAGCTATTTATTGTTCAGTGCTTGCATGCTGAAACAATGCCTGGAGTAATTTTCAAGTTATAAGGGCTTATAGGACTCTTATGTTTTGCACATTCTGTGATTTCTGACTTGCTGTGCTGCACAGAAAAAAAGCTAAATAATATTTGAGAGTTGGGTAGGGGTCAGAAATGGAAGGATTTTAAATTGCATATGTACTGAAGGACAAAGCCATGGAGGTTGTTTTCTCAAGCCATTGACTCCCTAAATTACACGTGTGCCCTGCTGATAGTATTTCTGTTACACTTTATTTGCCTAGTCATGCCTTTTGAATGAAAACATCTAGAAAGAGAGACAATAGGTTTTGTAGCTTTCTTTTTGTGCAGCCTCATCACTATTGGAAAGCAGACTGGAGGGAAATTCTACAGAACCTTTTTTTTTCTCTAGAATCTTTCCAATATGAGATACCCAGTTTTGTTTTGTTTATTTATTTATTTATACCTGATGGGATTTTTAATGTGCCATTTATATGACCAGGGGAATTTTATTCTCTTTAAGAGATGGGAAACCCTAGGGGGGAAAGAGTTAGTTTCTGTTTAAATTAACACCAATTCTCTTGGTTTATCTTCTTGGATTACATTGGAATTAAAACCCATTCTCCCCTCCCTCATCTGTTTTTTAATATAATATTATATCTATATTATTAGATATAATAATTAGGATGGTCAATGGGGGAGCAGGGAGTTACTAAATTCATTTAATATATTGTTTTGCATTAATTAGCAATCTGAGCTTTCAGAGGAATAGTAGCTGGAAGTATCATATGTGGGATCTTGATCAATTAAAGGATTTTTAAATGTCCTACACCACCAACTTATTTTTTGGCTTGAATGTAAAAGTAAACCTATTCAGTCTTTCCTGGTGTACTTAGCCCATAGTTCCTTTGTTTAACTTTCTAGTTGTGCTTCTCATAAGAATTGGTACAGCCAAACAATATACTGCTACCAGTCTTCCATTGTGGTTGGTTGTCTTAATGTTGTGTAAGCAAATTGTTTTGAAATGCATGCATGCATGCTTGTAAAGAGTTATAATGATCACGTCTGCTTACATTTTGATAATGTAGCTCAATTCTGACAGTTTACTGTAAAGAACAATTTGTGTTCATGGCACAGTCCTATATATGTTTACTCAGAAGTAGGTTTTAATGTCTTAACTTGGGCTTACTCCCCAATAAACATGTTTTAGGATTGTAACCATCGGCTTTAGAGAGCTTTCTCATGTTGCCGTAGGTTTTTTCCCCCCCAATTCTCAATATATATGCATTTCTTATGTATTATCAAAAATAAGAAATGAATGTATGTGAAGTTTTTCAAATTGTTAGTTGTGGTTCTTAGCATGGGTAGCAGAGAGGATTGAAAGAAAGTCTGAATTATAAAACACATAAACATTGTATTGTGAACTTCTATTGATTTGTACATTGTTGACTGAAGTCTGATTTCTTTGGTCAATTTGACCAAAAAATATTGGTTAGTTGCCTTCACTTAAGAATAATTCTGCTTCTGAACTCTGAATTAAATATCCAAGAGTGAAGTTATATTAATATTCATTTCACTGAGATGTTTGACAAACCAGTACATTACCTGTGCAAGTTAATGCACAGAGTACAGCTGCATTAATTTAAGGCAAATTGGGGAATCTAAAAAAAAGCTATCACAAAGCTCATATAAAGTTTGTATAAAGCCCTGCCCGCAAATTCTCTCCAAATATCTCTTCACGTACATTAGGATTGGAGGTGTTATTGCTCCTATAACATACATGCAAATAAAGCAATTGTAAGTGCTAGCACTATAAGTCCTTTTGCATTCACTCTATATAGGAATTAATGGCTATTTTTGTGTGTATGTGTAGAAGGGTGAAAACATAGTGAGAAATGACAGAATTCTATCTGCACTTCTCCATGGAATCGTTGAGCTTATACCGTAAACCTGTTTTGTAATACCATCCAATTTCCTAAAGTGTCTGAAGTTTTTGCAGTTACATTTCAAAGCAGTAGCTTGCTTTCAAGTGCTTGGTTTTACTTCACGGGTATAGACAGAAGGGAATGGAAAATCAGGGTGGGCCTCTAGCCCTGCAGGCGAATATTTTGAGCTCTTACTCTTTGAATCAGCATGGGAATCTTGATTCGCTACTTGGTGATTTCCAGTCTGAAAAAATAGCCCACACTTCTGAGACAAATGCAGTTCACATAAGAGTGCACACAAAAACCTTGGCATAAGACGAGAAAGTTCTTCGTATTTTGTGGGCCAGTTGCTGTGGAAACGTTAAACAAAGGACAACCTACCACTTCTGGTATAATTGTGTAGCCCCTTTTCTTTAGGCCTGACACCTGTCTGAATAAGAGTGATTAGAACTGAATAGTGTCCCTTGTCTGGCAACTGAAGATGCAGTTCACGTACAAAAATAAGTGAAGTAAAATGTCTATGTGTTTTTTTGTATGCTATTACATTTTGAAGTTTTGTAAAACTGCATTTTTTTCACAATGTGAAACTGAAGGTCAATAAATTATTAGAGATTTTCTCTTAAATACGCTCTTCTGAAGTTTTTATTCCCTAATAAAAACAAAACTAATGCTTAGCACAGTGTATAAGTCCTGTCTTAATAGAAAGGGCATCTCAAAATCAGTTAGGAGTTGATTGTTTTCTAATATCTGCTTTGGTTACACTGGAATGTTCCCCTTTGTTCCAATCTGTCACTCTTAACTGTGAATCAGCTTTTAAAGTTCAACAGCTAAAATGACAGGAGCTTTGAGATGATTCTGTGGGCAAGCATTTATAAATCTTCTGCCCTCAGTTTTTGAAGCATGGCTTAAGAGACTGATATTATTTGAGAAATGAATTATGCAAGATGGAATTATTCCTGAGAGATAAAGTGAAAAATAACTGGCACCTTTCCCTTTTCCATACTAAATACACATTAATCTAGAAGATAGATTCATTGAAATCAGTGTGACATGATTATGGACATGAGACAACTAGTTTCCATTTCTCTGCATAATGTGGGGGGAAAGTATATACAGCTTCTTCCAATCTTTGGCTAGAAGAAATATAAGAAATCTAGCAGAGTTAGAACTTTGGGAATTTGTTTGCATTTCTATTATTTTTATAAGGAGTTCACAACGTATGATCATAAGTGTATCCAGAATTATGGTCATAACTCAGGCTATGGTTTTTAAGTAGGCCACCTTGTGACCGTGCCTGATTTTATGTCTTTCTTGCTGTGGTTAAGAAAATTGGTTTATTAAGCCAATATTAAGGTTATTCCATTGTACCCAATGGAAACTAAAAATAAATGCCGGTTCTTGGCAAAAAACATAAATTACAGTTATGTGATGACAGGATGCTACAAATGGCTTTAAATGCAGGCTGATTGCGAAGAGCCCAAAATATGATCATATGACTGGGGGAGGAGGAATGGTTGTTGGAACTCCAGAACTGAGTTGTCAGTAGCTCTGGTGAGATTTGTCATAACTTTGAACAGTTGTTAGGTGACTGATTGTAAGTCAAGGACTAACTTTACATATATGCATCCATGTATTTTCATAATATTTATAACCTACTCTAGTCTGGAAAGATTCTGGGCAGCATACAGCATCAAAGCAAAATGAAGAAAAAAAAAAGAGAAAACACTAGGGTTCATACATGTTCAATAACAAAAAGCTGCAAATTTTCAGGGTTATGCAGACTTTTTGCATATTGATCTATAAATAAGCATGTAAGCAGTTGTAGCTTTCACAGCTGTAGAACCACCTAAGGATCATTCCTGTATTTCATTCAATTCATCCAAGCATTCACATTTGTTGGGTAAACATGCAGAAACAAATTCTAATGTAGTATTTGCTTTTTTGTGGAATGTTTAAGCTGCACATTTGCACAGTGGTAAGTGCAGAGGGACTTAAGAGACAAAGAAGAGAAAGCTGCAGTAAACCAAATGAATAGTCTGCAAGGTTTTAGAAATAGACACTGAACAATTGAGTTCTTAACATATTGCATCAGTGCAAAACAGCAGTGGCTAACACCATCCTTTCAATTGTCCCATATTCACTATCAGAAAGGAAGTGTGGGAGACTTTGATAGGTAATCTGATTCAATTTATTTATGCATGATGGATATTGTTAATGGTATATGATACTGTGGAATTATTTGAAGAAGATAAAATCAAATTCTTCAACTTTGGAATACATCTCTAAAACAGTTCTTTTCTCCATCTAAACAAGCCCCTAAATATGGCAATTTTCTACGTTTTGAATAAAATAGTGAATTTTAATAGCAATAGCACTTAAGATCCAAACAGTCAATCACCAGGACCAGAGTTTTAATCTTCCAAGCTTTTGAACTTTTTTATCTCCAGAATGTGTGCACTGGGCTGTTCCTTGTGTAGTATTTATATGGTGGTGCCTCATCATGTATGGCTTTTAATTGTTAATTGGGATGTTGATGGCCAGTTATTAAATTAATAATAGTTGTTTCCTTGTGCTGCCACACACTTGGCTCCTAAATACCTGATAAGCTATTTCATCATTCCTGTTGACTGATAAGGGACCACTTCCTAGGTTCAATCATTTCTCTGGCTATTTTTGTTCCTGCTCAGCCAACAATCTTAGTACTTGTGAAATTGAATGTATGTCCTTGTTTGTTGAAATGTGAGGCTACCAATGAACTCAGGTCTCCTTACTCATATTCTTGCAATCTGGTGGTTAGCTTTCTTCCCATCTGTCCTATATAGTCATGGGCAGTCCACACAGACAATCCGGTAAATTAGAATAGAAGTTTCTCACATCTCCAAACAATCTTTGTAATGCATGATTTGTCTTCATATTGTAGACCCTGCGCAGTGGGCAATGCCCACTTGTAGATTAGAAGCTGCATTCTACTGCTTCTGGAATTTTTTTGAAGTATGGCAGGGTGTGCCATATACTGTAGTTGGTATTGTATCTTCTTTCTTCCTTTCTCTTCCCTGCATGTTGGGCAGTCATCTTATAATAAACACTTGTGGGTATCCATTCTGCCTGAATTGTTCATGTAAGCACCTACTCTCCAGCTTTTTTTTTTTGCTGTACTAGTGTGTTCTCACCCTGCCATATACTGTTCTGACGCAACTCTTTTTATGTGATGGGTGATTACTTTTGAAACTCAGAATGCATGGAGTGCTAGTAGTCTTGAGATATAATAGCTGTCTATCAACACCCCAATTAACAACTAAAATCCACACACAACGAGGCACCACATAAATACTACACATGCCCAGTGCACACATTCTGGAGAGAAAGAAGTTCCCTGAGGATTGGTTGCAGCACAAGTCTGAAAGTTTGGAAATCTAAAATTCTGGTCCCGGTGACTGACTCAGATTGGATCCTGCAAAATTATCCTGAGATACGTATATTTGCCTTCATTTGTAATAGCACTTAGAATTATGTACTGCCCCTTAGTGCTTTAGTGCATTCTCTGGGCACTTTACAATGTCAACATATTGTCCCCAGCAAACTGGGTCCTCCTTTTATCGACTTCGGAAGGATGGAGGCTGAATCAACCTTGAGCCTCATCAGGATCAAACTCCAGGCTGTGGACAGAGTTTGCCTGCAATACTGCATTCTAATCACTCCACCGTGAGGAGTTCTTTAAACATGTTGCACTGTTATTAAACTAGAAAAGTGAAAACATTACCCAGAAAAATCTAGTTGCTCAGAATTGTTTTGAACTGCAAGATGAACTGCAAATAAATTGGATAATAATTTACTAATTTAACAAGCAGAAATTATTTCCATATTAATGAGTTTATGCAACATAACTAGTTCAAACTATACACATGCATAATACAGCTTTTGGAAATAGGGTGCGCTGAATGAATTAAATCTTTAAAATCACTTTGCAAGCTGCATTTGGACATTATCAGCATCTTTCTTCAATGTAGAGAGCAAGGCAAAACCAACATACTAATTCTCATTAAAAAAAAATCCAATAATAAATGTCATCACCAGGTTCTAATCTTTATTCCCAGCATTTTGATTGAATCCTCAGTGTTTTGAGGCAACACCATTTGGAAAAAGTATATCAACGTAAGGCAAAAAATAGGCATTTTAACATTTTATTTATTTATTTATTTATTTATTTATTTATTTATTTATTTATTTATTGAATTTGTATACCGCCCTTCTTCCGAAGGACTCAGGGCGGTGAACAGCCAGATAAAACACATATAATACAAATGTTAAAAAGCATTAAAATACAATTAAATAATTTGGCCCAAAAAACGAAATTTAAAACACCCCAAATTCTTAAGACAAATTTAAAATTTAATTTTTTTTAAAAGTTTAAAAGTTTAAAAGAGAGGTTAGGCCAGGCCCGCCTGCTGAAAAAGAAATGTTTTGATGGCACGGCGAAAAGCACGCAGGTCCGGGATCCTCCTTATCTCCGGGGGGAGCTCGTTCCAGATGGTGGGTGCCCCCACAGAGAAGGCTCTCCCTCTGGGGGCTGCCAGTTGACATTGTTTGGCCAACGGCACCCTGAGGAGCCCCTCTCTATGGGAGCGTACTGGTCAGTGAGAGGCTACTGGTGGCAGAAGGCGGTCTCGTAAATACCCCTGTCCTAAGCCATGGAGCGCTCTAAAGGTCGTAACCAAAACCTTGAAGCGCACCTGGAAGACCACCGGGAGCCAGTGCAGCTCGCGCAGAAGGGGGGGTCACATAGGAGCGCCCCGTCGCTCCCATAACCACCCGTGCGGCCGTATTCTGGACCAGCTGGAGCCTCCGGGTGCTTCTCAAGGGGAGCCAAATGCAGAGAGCATTGCAGTAGTCCAGGCAAGAAGTGACAAGGGCATGAGTGACCATATTTAACAAGTCCCGATCAAGAAAGGGACGCAACTGGCGAATCAGGCGAACCTGATAAAACGCCCTCCTGGCCACAGCTGTCAAGTGCTCTTCTAAAGACAGCTGTGAGTCCAGGAGGACTCCCAAGTTGCGAGCCCTCTCCGTGGGGGCCAGTGACTCGCCGCCAATAGTCAGTGATGGCACCAACTGACTATATCAGGATGTCGGAAACCACAGCCACTCGGTCTTGGATGGGTTGAGCCTGAGTCTGTTCCTCCCCATCCAGATCCGTACAGCCTCCAGGCACCGGGACATCACTTCAAGGGCATCACTGGGGTGGTCCGGGGTGGAGATGTACAGCTGGCTGTCGTCAGCATACTGGTGGTACTTCACCCTGAAACCACGGATGATCTCACCCAGTGGCTTCACATAAATGTTGAACAGAAGGGGCGAGAGGACCGACCCTTGTGGCACCCCACATACAAGGGGCCTTGGGGTCGACCTCTGCCCCCCTGCCAACACTGACTGCGACAGGTCGGAGAGGAAGGAGGAGAACCACCGCAACACGGTGCCTCCCACCCCTAGCCCTTCCAGCCGGTGCAGCATGATACCATGGTCGATGGTATCAAAAGCCGCTGAGAGGTCTAATAGGACCAGGACAGAGGAGCAACCCCTGTCCCGAGCCCTCCAGAGATCATCAACCAATGCGACCAATGCTGTTT